CTCAACCACGACTCTAAATTACGTTTTTCCAGTATGCTCTAATATAGGCATAGTTATATCGGTAAACAGTGCATTGATTTTTTAACTAGCTTATTATTAGTACAACTCAGTGAATTGTTCAGTTGTGTTTTTGTCCGTACTACACGCAAATTTTGTAAATTATTGAGGTGATTTCCGGGATTAAAGTGAACAGAACTAAACCAGCTGAGTCTATTATAATCCTTAAGCAATTTGTAAGATTTATAAAGTTCTTGTATGTTTGTAGCTACAGTATATTCGCTGATGAAACGTATTTGACTATTAAGTTTGTTTCTAAAAGACAGCTTATTAGTTGCATTTTTAACATTTTCATTGAGCAAGGAATTTCATCTTTATATGTTTTATCCTGGTTGTATCACCAAATCCTGATTCTGGAGAATCATCGTCGACAACCCTTTAGTTCTGGACCCAGTGTAGACACATTAGGTAATTTGGAAGCAGGAGTGATAAAAAATGGGCAACGCCTTCGCCGGTACTCGAACACGGGCCTCTCGAATACGCACCGAGCGTGCTGACCACTACACTACGAAGGCATGCTAAGAAGGTGGGAGAAATGCCTTATAACTGCATCGAATATTCTTTTAACTCTGTGGGTCTCATAAGCTGAATTTCTGTTCTACATATAGTAATTAGGATCAAATGAGTCTTGGTTCCCCAAAAAACATTGTAAAGAATACTACCTAAAAATATTAAAATAATGGTTTTTAGGGAATTTTAACTGACTCAAGAGTCATTTCAGAATTCGCTTTCTTCCCTCTCCTCTTCCCTAGGCATTTAAATCTTGAAACAAGTGTACAAAAATCGCTTTAAAACACGTTTTCAATTCGTTTAGATCATATGTTTCGTAGTTTAATTTAACACTAACTAGTGTAATTTAAATTGCTTAGTGTAAATTAACTTCTTCAGTAGCAAACAGGACTGCATTAAGCTTGTGTAATGTTTTCGACAATTTTACTGACTTATTCATTATATAAATATAGTTTCCTTTGCTCCTTATCTTACCTATTTCCAATGTTCAAGACTTAAAATAAAATTAAAAAAAGAAAACTAAACTCAGTAGCTCAACAGCTCTAGTGGGGACACGGTCTGCAGTGCCCTTTTTTCTGCTTTCTTGACCTTTGAGGCCCGGAGTGGTCAGCTTGTCGCAGGAACACCCGTGTTTAGTTCCCAAGCGAACTTGGTAACTCATTTTATCGACCCACTTAAGGAATGAAAGGCTGAGTCAACCTTGCCAGCCCGGGGATCGAACCCCGGACCTGGGATACCGGACCAAATAATATAATATTAAAATATAATATATATATTTATTTGCCAGTATAAGCACTTGAAAAGGATTTTATACATGTCCGGCCCCATTGCTGAATAAAAACTATAAAAACATTAAACTCTGATAAACGGAATCCTACAAATGAATCTGTGTCAATCCACGAGGTAAAAATTCGGTTTAATTTTTAATTCAGGTGTTAGATGTAACCCAAGGCACTAAATTTCAAATTTCAGTGGAAAATTATACACTACTTCGAATTTAAGCCAAATGCAAAATTAAGGAACAGTTTAATTTAAAGCAAATAGTTTTACATTCGTTTTCAGGTTTTGAAATCTTGGAAAGAAATCCATGAGGAAAATTATAAAATAGTCTTTGAATTACATTTCAAGATTTTTTACTCCTCTTTGATGGTAATAAATGGATCTGGTTTTTAATACTTGTTTCAATTTACCAGTTTTTAAACACCGCAAATTAAATTCTAAGTAACGCAGATGTTTTCTTTTTTTAAATAAAGCTATGTAAATAAAGACTAGTATCGATCTTTCATACAAATTTACAGTTTAATCTTGGTGAAATTTGGCCATCAAAGCAAGAGAAAGCTCGCTGTCTACATACGAAATCTCCGAAACCACCCCAACGGGTTCGCCCTTTTTATATACATAACTTTTGTGTTAATTGTGTGAACTTTTGATTCAAATTCAGCCATTTAAAAGCTTTACAAAATACTCTACAGAACAACAAAGTCTTTACAAAATACTCTACAGGACGTGAAATATTTATGTTTCAAGTTTAATCTGAAAGCACGACAATAGGAAAGAAGTATGTGGTTACTAGGGAGAAAGCAATATATCTATTGATCTTTCGAATTTAATAGACAAACTCAGGAATTTAAAAAACATCAAATTGAAATGTTTTCTAAGTTTATTATTGTTCAGCCAAGCATAAGAAATTTATTTTATGTTATAAATTACTTGTTCCGGTTTCCTGGCGTGCCTTCGTGGTGTAGTGGTTCTGCACGCTGGGACGGTATTCTGGAGGTCCGTGGTTCGATTCCCGGCGAAGGCGTTGCATATTTTTCATCTTGCCAGCTTCCAAAAGATACCTAATATCGCTACATTGTTTCAAATTTATTCAGTTTTTAATTAACAAACTAAACAACTTAAAAGAAATAAACGCAAACTCATTTTAGTTTTTTATTAATTACTAGTTCTGGACCCAAGAAATTACACTAGCTGTAGTTATTAAGAGTCTCTCCCTTTTTCTTTATTTTATTTGTGTGTGTTTTTATTTATTTATTTATTTGTGTTTAATTACAAGTTTTGGACCCAAGAAATTACACTAGCTGTATTTACTAAGAGTCTCTCCCTTTTTATTTTTTTTATTTATTTATGTGTGTGTGTTTCTTTGTCTTTCATACAAATCTACATTTTTATGTTGATGAAATTTTCCACACTTGACCTTCGAAACAAGAGAAAAGTGACTCTTTTCATAAGATTTTGAAACCCCATTGACGGGGTCCACACTTGCGAAGGATATATTAGAACTCTGTGCTCATGACACACATCTTAAGCTCATATTATCGTTGTTACATTTCCGCTATCAGTTCTTTTTCAAATCTTTAGGCAGCATCATGTTTACTATTGAGAAGAGTGTAGAACTTTCCAGAAGATAGTACGATTTTTAAAGCAGAAGTTAAGTGCGCTCTCTATCGGTTTTTATTAGTATTACGAAAACGAAGGAGAAATAGAGAAAGTGGATGGTGATTTTCCGAAAAATATCATAGCCATTAACAAAGCAAGTATCAGTTCTTACTAAAATTTTTAGCTGACGTCGTATTAGTAGTTTCTTCAGAACAGCGTGCAACCTACCATAGCAGGATAGAAGCATTAACGCGAAATTTAGATCCTTATCAGCTCTTCGCGAAAATTTAGAAAACAGCATTTCGAAAAAATTATCTCAATTCCCAAAAAAGTCTCTTCATTCTGCTTAAAGATCGGAAAATGTCATGCACTTCGACTAGCATTTGTATTAAAGTAAATTTAGTACGGTTGTAGCACAAATCATAAAACTGAAGTCTTATACTTTTCGAAACACAGTTTAACACAGACCGCTAGATAATATTCCTTATAGGAAGTAGCGCATAAGAATTGAATGAACTAATGAGTCAGGTTTCTATAACACAGAGAATGATTTAAATCTAAAAATAACACTATAAAAATTAAATTATTAAGATTACAATTCAGACAAAATCGAAATACTGGAAATTAATTTTTTTGTAATTTCTAGATTTTCTTCATTTTTAGCGGGTCCGGAAGATCTTGAATGGCTGAAAACTGTTTGTTTAAACAAGGCTCAAATTCCAGGCAAGAGGTTGCCTTCGTGGGGGTTCTATCGCATATTTTTCTCATTTATAAAGTCAATATTAGCCAATATCTCTTAAAAGCGTCATCCTATTCTTTCTCTTAAGGTGATAACACTTTCATGCTTTATCACAACCTAAATAATGTTTCACATTTACAAAAGCATCTTTTCCCTCGTTTCAACTCTCTCGTTCTTTTATATACCTCTGAATAATATTTGTTAATACAAAACTGCAAAATTACTGTAACAATTCCACCAGTTCTAGACTTTAGTTTCATTCTTGAAAAACTGAATCAGCTTGTGAATGTAAGTTTTAAACATACAGATGAAATGAAATAAAAATTTTATTGCAATTAATTTAACTTCAATAAAATGAATAATTAGAAAATTATAAATGAAGAAAATAATTCAAAATACTGTTTTACATTCATAAACGAAATGCAGACGTTATTATTGGCATAGTCATGTAGTTGAGGCCAGTGAAGTAGATCCAGTCCTCAAACTGCAGACTATAATAATGTATAATTATAAACTATGGATCTGACATCGGAAAATTATATAAACCTGATGAAAAAAATTGCATGAAATATTTCCAGAACAGAAATTATCCAAAGAAAAGGAATTTTACATTTATGCAAATTGAGAAAATTTTCTTACTTTCATTAATATTATATGTTTGCAACAGTTCGTGGAATTGCAAACTATAAAATTTAAATGCACTTTGACAGGGTTGATTTCCCGTAGCTTTATAAAACTGAGTGTTTTATTCCTGAACTGAAATTTTATTTACTGCATGTTAAGTAACAATGTTACTTCACTTTTATGAAAGTTTTAAAATGCAGCCCAAGGAAGTTCGTCCAAGCCACTGAATAATCTATTGTCTCAAACAAACATTGAAGAAATATATGATCGTTTACGATTTTCGTTCATTTTTTAGAAAATTTTGCTTCAGCCTGCTACGAGCATATTTCTTTCTTTCTTTTTGAATATTTCTTTGTTGCACAAAGCACAAAACTGTTAGAAATATTCCATCAATTAAAATCTTTCCTTTTGCTTTTTCAAACATTGAAATAAAATTTAGCAAAACCTATATTAAAGAAGAAAATTATTATTCTGCAGTAATGTAGAATGTTAAATTCTGGATTGACTAAAAGTAATTAAACAATTTTTTCCCTCTCTCTCGTATAATAATTCCAAGTTTAATCAATCAGGCGAATTTTACGATTTGCTTATGTTCAAACTTACACATAGAAGATACACTTTCATTATACGGCGTAACTGAGGATTTAAACCAGCTTGGTTAATTAGCATTTTGTAATATCTAAAGACATACTTGCGGCCAGATCTAGACAGGGGTCTTCACGACAGAGGCAATTGCCATATGTACTTGCCCTTCCATTTTTACCGTAGTAAATACGTCCGTTTTGCACATATGTTCGCGCAATTCACTTTTGAATTTTGAGCGGAACACAACAAAATAAGAGGGATAGCAGAGCGAAAACAGTTAAATTCCACATTCTACAATCGTACAGTGTCGATTAAACTGACAAGGAAACAAATCGAGGATTTTTGCGATACAAGATTTGTTTGAGCTATTTATACAGAAAGAGGACTGCGCCTCTGTAAATATTTAGTCTCTCATGATCTTGAATTACTGGTTTTACTAAGTACATTATTTCCATTTATATTAACGAAAAGCTTTGTTCCATATTATTTCAATACATGGGCCATCTGTATATAGATGCTATATTTCATCGTAATGAAACTCGCATAAACTCAGAATAATTGCTTTACGTATTGCTTTTAAGTAAACAATATATGCGGGGTTTATTAAATTCATTGAAGGAGTATTGCATCTTGACTTTATGAATAAACATATTTGTGGGAGGTACTAATGAAAAAATACGCTTGCCTTTAATATTTTCTGAATAGTTTTAAATCGAAAAAGAACTGTATATCAAGCAAAGCAATTAGGGAGCAGAAATATATATTTTTTGGGGTAAAAAAGGAGACTTGAGAAGGCATTTGTTCAATCGCTTTTAAGATTCTATGCAGATATGCTATAATATATTTAACAAAGTAAGCTTGAAAATAAAGCGCATTAATAATGGACATTATTTCGATAAACCAACGATGTTGAAACCATATTAGAATTAAGCTGTTCAATATTTTATTTGTTAGAATTGAGTTTAGCATCAAATCTCCTAAATGCCTAGGACCGCCGAAAATAGGCTGATATCCCAATCGTTTACGCAGTCGAAGCTAGAAACGTCCAGTGTGGCAAATAATGTAACTTTGCAAGAGTTAATGCAAATGTCTAAACACTGAATGATTAATGGAGTTTTAAATTTAACCGTCAACGGAATATCATTTTTTAAAGCCAGTTAAGGGAAGATTTCGCCTTATTTTATTTCAACAAATTTTATGTAGTACCAATAATTCAGTATTTTCATAATGCAAAATTCGAAGTATGTCGACAGAATCAAGCAAAAAAAATTTATTACATGTCTAAACACACTAAGTTTTATTATAACTAAATAAAGCGAGATATTAGTTATAATTTGTTTTCATCAGACTAAACATAATATTCTGGTGAAGTGCAAACAAAGAAATTATTTTTGATTTTTAAAAAACTACTTAATTATTTAAATATTTTTAAGAAAGTCATATTATTATGAGCAAGCAAAGCCCATAAGTTAAAAATAATGGAACTTATATAATGAATGTAACTGCTTTCTGTTAATCGTTCTAGGCTATATTGAAAGGCAATCTGTACGTCGCACATATATATCTAAGATTGTAGAGCCATTAGGTATTTTTTTGGAAGAAGGCAAGATGAAAAAGCTAAGCTAACGCCCTCGCCGGGAATCGAACTACGTACCTCTGTAATACCAGCCCAGCATGCAGAACCACTACATCACGAAGGCACGCTAGGAGGGCGGGAGAAATACTTTATACACTCCCCCTTTTAAAGGGCGACTGGGGTGTTTAGGGAACCCAATCGCCAAATCCTGGGTGTAGAGAATCTTCATCCAACACGTTTTTTTTAGTTCGAGCGCTACTGTAAAGACATTAGGTTATTTGGAAAAGCCGGAGAGATGAAAAATTAGCAACCGCCTTCGCCGGAAATAGAACCACAGTTCTCTTAAATACCGCCTCAGTGTACCATTCCCAACTCTTTTAGTTTCGGCTCCACTCTAGAGACATTAGGAAGCAAGAGAGATTGAAAAATTAGCAATAGCCTTCTCCGGGGATCGAACCACGAACCTCTGAAATACCGGATCAGTGTGCTGACCATTACAGCACGAAGGCACGCTAGAAAGACTGGAGAAATACCTTATAAGTTAACTGAATAGTTTCTTAAAATTTATGTACACTCTACTTTATTATAATTTTATTTATATACAAAATTGACAAAATTCAAACACATAAACTAATAACAACAGGCTTGACCTAGAAAACCATGACAAGCAATCAAATTGTAGAGTTCCTAACTTTGTAAATGCTAATTACAGTTGAACATGAATTGAAATAATTGGATTTTTGAATATATGGCGTCCAAATACTAAAGGATCTTCTGCATTTCCATTAATGAAATTTATTTGAAAACAGCATAAGTAAAACAAAATTTAAAACATTGTTTCATATTTTCTTAAGAAAGTGTCAAGATATTTCATAAAAGATAAGGGACACAATTATTCTCTAATGAACAACTATTGTTTGAATCATCTTTTATTGAATACAATCGCATTACAAATTTTCATGCAAACATTCAATTAAATGTTTGTAAATTGCTATAAATCATAAAATTAAAAATAAAATAATGTAGGAAGCTTTATTCTATCTAGAATATGATGAATGTCAACTTACTGTCTAGGGGCTTGAAATGACGAATGCAATTATAGAAAACTCGAATATTTAATGGAAACAGGAATAGCTGCTACACACCACAAGGTGATTACTATAAGGTAGGAAATAGATAAGGTTATTACAGATGAATAGAGAATAGCGTCCTTTATATATACACGTCTTTAAATGCCGTCATCGTCGTCACGCTTTACTAACGTCCTTCTGCGAATGGTTGCGCAGTTCACTCTGTCGTAGCACTTGGGATCCAAAGGTCCCTTCTCTACGGCTTGGCCATCTACTCAATTCCCATAATAATGAAATTTAAATTAGTGTGAAACACTTTTGTTACGTTTAAAGCACTCTAAGCACTTACAACTTCAGTTTGAAAAAAAAAAAAAAAAAAAAAGCCGAAGCCTCATAGAAAGCTGTGTGGCAAAAGTCTGAGAATTGGCTGTTGTTTTGGAATATAATACTTGATAGAAAGTGCGGATGACAAATACTCTGGCAGGATAAATTATCAAATTCCTCAATGGGTTCACAGCAGTGCCAACCAATAACACATCTTCGATTATTCTGAAAAGACTTAACTTTATTAAAGCAGTTTTCTTTAAGTGACAGATATTTGTTCTTTAAGTTTCCATCGGGAATGATTGCGTCAGCTCGTCATTTAGACATCACATTGCTGAGAGCATTGTTCATTGTGCGGTGCGAGAGGCAGACGAATATTGTATCCTTCCGAAGGAGGTAGACCACACACAAACATCCAAACCTTACATTTATTCGAACTGGCACTCTGGAATTAGCACAAGCAGTTAGCCTTTGTTAACCACTTTATTATCTGGAGCGGAGTTTCTCGAACTGTAGTGTGTAAACCTTAAGAGATCTTCGAGGTCTGCCTTTGGGGTCCTCCTAGATTTCCAAGAAGACAAAAATTAAAATCCAAATAAATTACATGTGCCACACTATGGGTTAAAATGTTAGAGTGGGGAAATCATACCCGGCAATCATCTACCAACCTTTTCTTCCAAGACTGATATTTTATACAATTTTTTATTGGTTACCCTACCTACAGATTTCCCACTCTAGTCTTAGCGACAGAAGAGGGATTTTAAGCACGTAATGACTATCATGCTTCTTTACATTCTGTAACTGCACATCTGATGCCACATCTGTAGCCCAGCTGAAACATCTCAATTTATCATAATGCACGGAAGTACCAAATCTTTTTCTTATGTAATTACGACTTCCTTTATAGACCTGGAGACGTACTGAAATGTTAAGTACACCAGTAAACTCCACTCTTTGCTTGTCTGTTTGTTCAACAGTATTATACCGTATATACCAGCGTATAATTCGATACCGCGTATAAGTCGACCCCCCCCACACACTTCGACATAAAAATTCGTAGAAAATAAGAAACCGGCGTATAAGTCGACCCCCCACTTCCAAAATCAATCGAGAAACTTCGAAAAAATTTTTTAAATACTACATTTATTCAAAATCATCTGAGAAAAAAAGTAAATATACGATAAACAATACCTTGGTAAATAAACAAAATCAAAATCCTTCAACGTCCGATTCATGGTCAGATTCGCCAAACATTTCATAGAACTCTTCTGTCGTCATTGGCTCGTCATTCGTCGTCATACATATTTTCAGTCTCGAACTCTATTGTTACAATCACTACTAGAGCCTTCGTCGTCATTTTCACTTTCGAAAACAGTATCATCTTCCGTGCCGTCTAGTTCGTTGCTAATACAACATTTTTTAAATGATTTTTATAATTATTTCAGAGGGTATT